CATTCCGCGTATGTGAAAAGTACGGGAATTCCCGAGGGGACGCGGAGAGTCAGCGAGCACGTTGCCAAACATGCAGAGCGGAACTCGCGCGTTGCACGCTGCCACGAGAGTAACAGCAGATCTTTCGCTCTGGTCCTCTGGCTTCGTATTTTAGATGTTAGCACGAAGCACTCGTATTTCACTGACGTAGGACTTTTTACGTTGGTGTTGCATTTTCATCATAACCCACGCAATCTACAGGGACTTGGTCCTTCTCGGTAGGGCGCGATCATAGCAGGCCAGCCACGAGTTAGTTAGAGAGTCCTCGTCTCTTTCCGGGGACGTCCAAGCCATTCATTCACATTTTTCGACCTATCCAATTGTAATTATTAGATAAGAGAATCATCTTCTGCCACCCAGTCGTTGCTTGATTTTCATTTTGGCATTGGAGCAAAGGATTACATTTATGGAGAATCGATGCTAATGATCAACGGCTAATCCCTGGCATTATTGATCATCTCGATGAAATTTATCGGGCGATGCTGTGACCTCCTTGGTATCTGTGTTTAGCACAGATTCAATTGTTGAAAAAATCAATATCGATCGAGGATATTTTGGGACAGTATTATAAATTAATATTATTGACGATGCCAATACAATCGTAATGATCATGAAGTTGTAATTATTTTACAAAGAAATTTATTTGTATATGTATCAAACTTGTTAAATAATTATCTTAAATATATAATAAATGTCATAAATAAAACATTAGGAGTTAGGCTATGTATTCAGAAATATTAAATGGGATGTTAAAATGGAAATATGAGTAAGTTTGAATAATTTAATGGAAAAGGCCGTTGCATTCGGTAATAAATGAAACTTAATTCAATATTATGTTTAATTTTGCTTAAATCTCTTTATTTTAAGCATGCTATTATCATTATGTATTTGTGATTATTTTCAAAGACGTCTCATACAAATATGCTATTTTATTGGTAATTTTGCCTACAATACATTTATATTTTGATTGTGTGTTCATGGTTGAATTTGTCATGTTGAAAATTTCAACTATATTATATCTTATTAAAAAGTTTTTTTCTTCCTCCATTTTTTATAGTAAATTCTTATAATTGGTGAAGTTCTTGAGATCTATCTTGTGATAAAAAATTTTCATTCCATTCTTATTTTAGTTTGTTGAAAGATGTTTCTCTTCCTAGTTTCTTACACACACGCGCGTGCGCGTGAACATAGAGAGAAATAGAGAGAGAGAGAGAGAGAGGGAGAGAGACATTCCAATACCGTATCAACAGTAATAGAGTACATATTAAAATATGTATTTACTGCATTTCATTAAATAAAATTATATTTTATTTTTCAATGCAAATTCTCTTTTTAATTAAATATGTATTTACATGTTCACTAAACTTTAGTTGTCTTATGTAGATTCATTAAAGTTAATAAATATTTTCAAATTTTCAAAATCAATATTAAAATAATTTTGTAATTATAATATTCCAAATCTAATGTACAAAACAAATATTTTCCTCAATTAAGTATATAACAGATCGCAATTATGTATCAATACAGCAATTGTATACATGCATCGTTTCTACGTATTTCACTCGCTGTCACAGTTTCACAGAAACTCTATAGCGGCAGCAGCTCTTTTTCTAGCGGCAAAAGTAGAAGAGCAGCCCAGAAAGTTGGAACATGTCATCAAAGTGGCACATATGTGCCTTCACAGAGATACGCCGGCTCTTGACACAAAGTCTGAGGTAAGAAAACAAGCTTTAAAGTGATTAATACATTCACTTTACAAGTTAAATATAACAATACAGTTTTGTTATGCAATATTTTCACATTTAAATTAATGGCTTTAAATATAATTTTCAACAAATTTATTAGTCAAACAATTGATATTTTATTTTTTATAAATGAAATAGTTCATTAATATTTCTTTTTTAATAGAAGTTATACTGAAATTTATAATAATCAATTTCAAGAGCAAAGAAAAAACATTGTTCCAGCTTTATTAATTATTTTTATAAAGTCATTTTATTTTACTCATTCTGCACTGTTACTTACAAATTATTAATAATATGATTAATTTCAAGTATCAAGCATGTATAAGAAATGTTTTATTTTCTATTTTTCTATTCTAACCATATATAAATATATTAGGCTTTATTAACAAAAAATTTGTAAAAATTATTAATTTTAATATGTAACAAATAACAATAATTTAAAGTATTGATAGATATGGTTCGGTTTGTATGATTGAAAGAAACCAATTCTAAGTGTGAAGCGAAATTTTTTTTTGTAAAATGCATATCAATCATAAAATTAATGTAAAGTACAAATCTTGTATCTTTGATTACAATATGGATGAACATATTTGGACGGACCTCCTGATTAACTTATCTATGGATAAAATAATCTATATTTAGTTTGAATTTTTAAAACAAATTCCGAGAAATTATTAAAAAATAAATATTCTAATGTAAATGGGGCAATTACAATTAATTTCATCTTTTTTATATCAATGAAGCATAAATGGTTGCATTCATTACCATAGATAGACAATTATCTATCGCTATTTTTTAAATAAGATAAATGTTTTTCAATGTTTTTGCAATATGTAATAGTAGATATATGTTTATATTTATGCTTTTTACGTCAAAAGGCTTTTACACACTTGATATATTGTTATTTTAAACTTTGTATAATTGCGCAACAGTCGGAGTATGCATCTTCTATTTGTATAAATTAAATCTGTTTATAATATTATGGTAATTATACCTAATTATTAAATTGGCTAAATATCATAAAAAAGGATACTTATTATTTTTAATTGAAAAAAATAATGAAATACATCATTTTCTATATATTTAAAATTTTTTAGCAATATTTGGAACAAGCTCAGGACTTGGTGTTTAATGAGAATGTCCTGCTTCAAACTTTGGGGTTCGACGTTGCTATTGACCATCCCCACACACATGTTGTTAGGTGTTGTCACCTAGTAAAAGGTATGTTTTGATATTCTCATTATTCATTTCATAATACAAGTATGCTAGGATACTAATTGATTTAAATTGATAAATAACTGTGACAGCATCTTTATTTAATGCGAGATATAAATGATTAGAAATGTTTATATATCCCATAATATATATTTTCAATGAATCATAGTTATATCTATAGTAAACTTTAAGTTTTTTGAAAGATAATGAAGAGTTGTTTAGTTATTACTAATGTTTATAACAACTAATTGATATAAAACTTATTTAGTATTTCAAAGCAATTTTACAACTGTAAAAGAAAATATTCATCTGAAAGTTATTGTGATTAATAGAGGTGTAATACTTGGAATAAATATTTTTATTACCGACATTATGTGTTACTAGAAAAGTAAAAGAGAAGAATAGAGAAAATATATAAATTCTAAAATGAAATTGAAAATAGTTTATAAATTTTAGTGTAAAATAATTTTCTAATATTCTTGTATTATTGAAAGAACTATTGAAAAATGAATTATTCAAAATATATTAATACACTATTATTCGTTTTACAGCGAGCAAGGACTTAGCCCAGACTTCGTACTTCATGGCATCTAACAGGTGGCTACACATTTCCTAATAAATTTTACTCTTAGCGGTCTTCAGATCATATAAGATGCCCGCTGGATTGTATTTCTGAGATAAGAATTTCAAGCGACAAGGCTTAGCACAACATTCTGATCTGATATGCCTTATTTGCTTTAAATATATAATTTTATAGAAGTAAACTAATTTTTTTAAGTGTATCTTTTCATACAATGTTTTATATAAACATAAGACTATGTATATTAAAAATCTTAAATACCAAGGAAAAGTTGTTGCGTTCGAGTATTTGAAATATTGCTTGGTTCTAAAAGAATATAAGCCAGTGCGCTCCAAAGTTTAATTTGTAAACTAAATAACCAATGCGGAAAAATTATAATAAGGTAAATTAAAGTATATAAAAAATGAACGTTTATTATGTGGGTAAATTTTTTTTTTATTTTCTAATTTTTTGGTTTAACAAGTTTTAATAACATTGCGAATTTTTAGTTTTTTCTTGTTTGCACCAAATTATGTAGATGTATTTATAAGTATATCATTACATATCTATCAATTTAATGTATTGGAGTAAGAAAAAACTTCTGAAAGTAACTCTGAGAACTTGGACAATTGAAAAATTGCAATTGTTCTCCGAGTTAATTTTGCAACATTGGTAGTAATTTTGTATTATAAAGTATTTAATTATTTAATTATATGAGACTTATAATTTCATCCGTATTTTGAATTTTTTAAATTTATGTCAAATATTTTATTCTATACGTATTTTTGAATGTTTATGTAATGAAAAGTATTTTTTCTGTATTACAGTTTGCATTTGACAACAATGTGTCTCCAATACAAACCCACTGTAGTTGCTTGTTTCTGTATTCATCTCGCGTGTAAATGGTCTAATTGGGAAGTAAGTGCCAAAAACATGAGGACAATGCCCACCAAAGAACACTTCAGATGATAATTTATCATCGTTTTGTTATCTTATAGATACCTCAAAGTAATGAAGGGAAATACTGGTTCTGGTATGTTGACAAATCAGTGACGTCCGAATTATTGGGACAGCTCACTGGAGAGTTTTTGCACATATTTGATAAGTGTCCTTCGAGGCTCAAACGAAAAATTCGGAGTATTTCAGCAAACCAAAGTCCAAATATGTCTCATCCAACATTATCTAATTCGCCATTTGTAAGTTTTTCATTTTTTATAATTAAAAATTATATATTTCAAAAAAGAATAGCTAACTGTTATCTCAGTTTAATGTATTAATTACAACAACAAAAAATCAAAAGATTGTGTCTAGTATAGAAAGAAAAATTTTATATCTGCGACAAAAAAAAAGTTTATAATTAATCTTATATTACGTTTGTACAATAGTTTTTTTTTTCATCTAATTTATTAAACTTTTTAGTTCTTATAATTAATATAATTATTTTGTTGTTTTAACAGTTCATACACTTTTGTCTGATAGTATTTGAATGATAATTAAATCGCATATGCATACATACACATACGCGCGTTCACATATGTATGCATATATATAAATTACTTAAATTTCCAAAAAATGAATAAATTATTAGATGGATTGTAAATATAATTACCGCATTTGAAGAAATTTTTAAATATCATTAAGAACTTTAACTGCTTAAACAAAGAGTGCTTTGATATATGAATTTTATTTTTCATTTTAGTTAATGATTTTTTCGATGAATTACATTAATGTAGAAGCTATGTTAAATAAATTTTATTTATTAATGTAGTGTATTTATTATATTTAATTTCTGTCTCATAAAATTAGCTTCCAATAATTATAAAAAATATATATAACAAATTTAAATATTATTAATTAAAAGTTAAATAAAATGTTAGTTTTTGCTTTTAATGAGTTTGTGTTATTCGATTAAATTCGGATAAACTCTAATTACTTATTACATTTTATTTTATATTTGTTAAAATGTTTCAATTTTTAAGTGCTATAAAATATAAAGATTTTATTTATATAATTTATATAAAAAAAAATGAGCTACTCTTTTAAATCTTTTTAAAAGAGAAATTATTCATTTTAGTTTTGTAGAGTACATCTTTTTACATTTAAATGCAATAGTAAATGAATATAGTGACAAATTATTTGTGTTTAAAAAAGTGTGTTTGAATATAAATTATCCTATTGTCTGCGTCAAATTACAAAATTATTAAATTTTACTATGTAAATTAACATCTTTTTTTATTAAATTAAATTTTTTTAGTGAGAGAAGTTATATTTATTGTAATGCTATTCTTTTTCTTACTGATATTGAAATTGTTCGAAAATAGTTAATTATTTATTACAAAATTACAGGACGCTGAACCACGTAAGGTTCAATCACCGGCGAATGCCGATGGCGGCCTTTGTTTCCAATCAAATCGGCCGTTCCATCCGGAGAAGTCTGAGACGGACTCGACAAAAAAATCCAGCTCTTCAATATCCGGGCGTACATCCGTCGACTATCGGGAGTACCGCGAGAAAAAGGAGCGTGAACGCCTCGAGCGTGAGAAAGTCGCAGCCGCGAATGCCTTGACGGTTTCTCTGAGCGTAGATCCGAGCAAACACCACTCGCATCATCACAAGCAAAGTTCATCTAGTGTGGGTGCGCCAAATAAACACACGAGCTCTGCATCCTCGTCGTCGAGCGTCATGAAGCAGGCTGTGCATCACAATCATCACCACAGCTCGCGACAAGATGTAAAGTCCTCTTCCCAAATAATGATTCAACGACACTCGACGGTCAGTAGTCAGCCACGTGATTTAAATCGCGATAGGCAGAGAATGTCGCGAGAATATAACTCTACGAGCAACACGAGCGGTGGTACTGTTTATTCCCATGGTCACTCGCTGGATAACTGCCTTGATCCTGTCTTGAATAGTCTCGCCCAAGATTCGTCTACTATTCACCCGCCTGAGAAGCTCAGCAATAATGTACATAAGTCCTCGTCGCACGACGGTCGAACAAACGATCCAAGGCATCCTAAGCAACAACAACAGCAACAGCAACAGCAGCAACAGCCGAAGGATGTCATAAAGCCTTACACCAAATACCCCGAACCAGCGTCCACGTCGTCACGGACATCGAGGAAGCCAGATATGCTTGAACAGAGAAGCGAGGAGGTAAGGAAGCTTATCGAGAAGCCCTTACCACCTCCAAAACCGAGAGCGGAGGTGCTAAAAGAAGAATATGCGGCGATGATGTTAAAACAATCGCATCATCCGTCTAAGTATGGACATCAGCCTGAAAAGCCAGTTGCTAACACGACACAAGGGGTCGCCTTACCGATGATAGAATCGAAAATGCTAAACGTCGGTCAGACGGCTTTCTCGGTTGAAAAATCACCCAACGCGCCTGTCTCAGCCTCACAAATACCCCATAAGTCATTATCAGCCTCTTCCAAGGTTAATCAAATACTGCCGATGAAGAATGGAAGTTCATCATCGTCGTTGTTAGCGTCGTCAACTTCTTCCACGGCAGCCTCTGCTTCGCTCGGCTTACTTAACAATCTTGACGATGCCAAGGCAGAGAAGAGGCCACGAGGGCAGCAACAGCAGCAGCAACAACACCACCACCACCAACAACAACAACAACAACAACAACAACAACAACAACAACAACAACAACAACAACAACAACAACAACAACAACAACAACAACAACAACAACAACAACAACAACAACAACAACAACAACAACAACAACAACAACAACAACAACAACAACAACAACAACAACAACAACAACAACAACAACAACAACAACAACAACAACAACAACAACAACAACAACAACAACAACAACAACAACAACAACAACAACAACAACAACAACAACAACAACAACAACAACAACAACAACAACAACAACAACAACAACAACAACAACAACAACAACAACAACAACAACAA